TTTTTTTTTTTTTTTTTTGGTACTCTGGTACCAGGGATTAAACCCAACCACATCCCCAGACCTTTTTATTTTTATTTTGAGACAGGGTCTCACTAAGTTGCTTAGGGCCTCACTAAGTTGCTGAGGCTGGCTTTGAACTTTCGATCCTCTTGCCTCAGTCTCTTGAGACACTGGGATTACAGGCCTGCATCACCAAACCCAGCTTTCTTTTTCATTTTTCACTGAAATCTATGGGCAGGAAATATTATTCTTTGTTTCACAAAGAAACTAAGGTTCATGACTAGAATGTTCTGTAAGATCACATGTGAGGACAGTGGTAGAGCACTTTGCCTAGCACTTGTGAGGTACTTGGTTCAATCCTCAGCACCACATAAAAATAAATAAAGTTTATTTATTTTCCTTCAACAACTAAAATAAATAAATAAATAAAAGATCACACGATAAGTAACAGAACTGGGATTCTGTCTCATTCCAAGAACTGTATTTTTATCACTGCTCTGCTGCCTCCTATGTGGATAGTCAAGGAGAAAGAAATCCTTACCTGGTTCATGCCTGCATTGGCAAAGAGCAATGTGGGATCATCCAATGGGATAGTGGCAGATGAATGAACATAGGTGTGCTCATTTCTCTTGAAGAAATCTATAAATCGTGCTCGGATTTCACTTGCTGTTAGGGTTGAATCCATCTTGAAAGTCAACCCAAAGAACTTACCAAAGGAAAAAAAAGAAAAAGAAAAATCAAGGGAACTGGAACTAAAAGTAGGCATTACATAAGACTCCCATTTCTCAAGCCAAGTCAAAGCAAGACATAGGTAAGCTATTTAATCTTAAAACCTCTATGTTGTAATGTCCAAGGCTAAAAACATTATCAAAGCGAAACTTGGCTACACCAACAAACAGCAACCCCTTCCATTCTTTTTTTCATGCCAGTCTCAATAAGCTCAACACATCAATACACCAACTAGAGTAGGAGGATCCCAAGTTTGAGGGCCACCTCAGTAACTTAGACCCTGTCTCAATATAAAAAATAAAAGAACAGGGGATATAATTCAATGGTAGAGCATTTCTGGGTTCAATCCCCAGTACCACAAAAATAAATAGAAAAATGGAACCACCTTATTTATAACATTATCTAAAAGTCTCTAGAACTCTTTCTAGACCCAACTCTACCTGAAATAAGTTATTTTGACTGGAGTTTGGTTCCTTTTTTTTGTTTTTGTTTTTCTTTTTAAAGTAGTATCTACCTATTTATTCAACCAGGGTTTTTTGAGGATCGCCCCCCACACCAAAAAAATACTGTATTTGATTGGAAGTAATTTGTAAACTGTAAGTTCTAAAGGAACAAGATAGCTAATACTTTAAGTCATTTAGCATAAAACATTTTCATGAGGAGGAACCAATAAAGATGTTCACAGTAAAACATGATACCTTGACTCTCAAGAGTTATGTTTAACTACAATTTCAATGGACTTATTCACCACTTAATCAACACATTACTCAGAACCCTTCTGGCAAAAAGAGTAAAACAGGCTGAAAACCAAAGAGTGGACTATAAATCTCACACATAGGAACTGGCTGTCCATGCTAAGAGTCAAGCCTTGAATTTTTCAGAAACTTTCTCCTACCACATTCTTTCTCACCCCTCCCTGTCATGGCTCTCAAAGAATCTTAACTATGGTGGCAAAAATGAATTGATGGCAGTAATTCTTCCTTTGTAGTATCACATGGCCATTTGAAAATGTTCACCATGCTGGGTGAGGTGGCAAATGCCTATAACCCAGCAGCTTGGGAGGCTGAGACAAGAGGATCATGAGTTCAAAGCCAGCCTCAGCAACTGGGAGGTGCTAAGCAACTCAGTGAGACCCTGTCGATAAATAAAATACAAAATAGAGCTGGGGATGTAGCTCAGTGGTCAAGTGACTCTGAATTCAAACCCCAGTACCAAAAAAAAAAAAAAAATGTTCACCACTTCTTTATTTAAATGGACCACTTGAGGTAAATAAGCAATTACATTCCAAGACATGAATTTCCCATTTTTGCTTAGTCATTCAACATAATGAATGCATACTATATGCAGGGAATCAAGAGGAATTACAGTATATGTCCATATGTCCTTCATGGGGAGACCATCATATACACAAATAATTACAGTGTTGTACAAAAGGACCTAATATGTTGGCTATAAGCCCTAAGGAGTCTGGGACTATCAAAAGCTGTGTGTCACTACAACTCATTCATTTTTTTTCAATAGAATGTCTACATGGGATACAGAGGTAGCACAAAGACAGGACCTCAAATTCCGCTTTCCAGCAGGAACTGTAAAGGTCTTGGCTAGATTAAATCACACTGTGGCTCCAGGCACAGGACCTTGTAACAAGCTCTCCCTCCATGTGCCAGGTAAGCTCCCTACCCACCCCTACTTCTTTCCCTTTTCCTAGTTAAGTTTTCCATTTTGACATCTGAATTCCAAAGAAACTTATTTAAGGAAGCCTTCGCTTCCGACATTAGACTCATAGCCCCAAGTGTGTCCCTTCGTAATTTCCAAATGCATTTGATGGCTGTTTAAGACCTGTCTCCCATCGGGATGTAAGTTACATCTCAGTGGGTACCGGGGCTGTTTTTGGCTATTACAGTTTATTCCCGGTATCTAATACACTGGTTGCTAAATGCCTATTTCATCATCATTTATACCAATCCTTTACAACAAACTCGCATATTTTAAAGCACAATAGGAAACCCAGGTTGTCTGAAAGAGCAGAACATGATTCTCAGGGTAAGCCTGGGCTGGTATCAACAATTCCGTTAATTAATTTATTTTTTTATTAGTTGAGGAATTGAGGGAATAGCTCCCAGAAGGACTCCGACCATTCGGGTCACGCTTCTCTGAACCCCCACTCACCGCTAAGAGACTAAAATTGGGAACTCGATGGCCACCGTGATCCTCGCAAGGCCTGGGTCCTCAGCAACTCCACCGGAGACGGCTCCACTTCCAGTGCGCCAAGGGGCTGGCAAGGGCCGCTCTCGCGCTCCCGCCCGGACTCGGGCCCCGCTCCAGCCCAGGCCCGGCTTCCCGTGGCCACGCGGGAGCTGGCCCAGGCACCAGCCGCAGTTGCTCCTTTTCCCCTAGGCCCGGGTCCCTCCCAGCGCCGCAGAGATCTGAAATTTGCCTGCCACCCACTAGGGTCCCGTTCCTAACTCCTCCCTCAGAGCCCACCGGAGGCCCGAGGTTACCTGCTCTCTTAGAGGAGCAAAAGCACAGCTGTACCCGCCCCGGGCTACAACCCGCATCGCCCTATCCAATCAGGGCGTGCCAAAGGAAAGTGCTCCGCTACGATCTCCTCCTAGGAAACATTATTGGTCAACATATATGCCAATCAACCTGATCACGAATCAGCTTATTAATCGGCTTCTGGAAAGGCGGCTCTAGCTCGGCTGATGCAATGGTTGAGAAAGATGGGCAGAGTAGGTCACGTGACGGGGATGGAGGCTGGCTCCTGGAGACCGACATTTTGATTTCCTCATGGGAATTACTAACAGTTGACAAGAGCTGTAGCGTGTGTAGTAGAGGTCTTTGGTATACTTCTCTTCGTTCTAGTTATAGAATTATGTGCAGAACTCAACGGTTCTTATTGTGCTCATGTATACACTTGTTCTTCAGACCTTCAATTTCATGTGGAAGAAATGATCTAACAGTAAAAGACACCTGGCCCTCCATTGGCCTTTGAAAACTAAGCCGGGCATCATGGCACAGCCCTGTAATCCAGTGATTCGCGAAGCTGAGACATAAGAATTGGAAATTGGAGCCCAGCCTCAGCAACTTGTCAAGACCCTGTCTCACAAATAAAAAGGGCTGGCGATATGGCTCAGTAGTAGAGCTCCCCTGCGTTCAATCTCTAGCTTAAAAAAAAAAAAATGTAGATCAGTGGTAAAGTACCCTTTCAATACTCAGTACCAGTAATAAACTGTGTAGTAGGTGTTGCCATCCCTTTTTTACAGATGAGCAATGAGCAAATGAATTTGTCCAACTCCATATTGATCATTAAGTCGCAAAGTCAGAATACAAACTTTTGTCTCTTTAATCACTTCTTTATTACATACATCTTCGGTATATCCAAATACACGGAGGAAAATTGTACTGTTCATAACTTGGTTACAGACAGTGCAGAAGAATATAGTTTTAAAAGTAAAATAGCGGGGCTGGGGATGTGGCTCAAGCGGTAGCGTGCTCGCCTGGCATGCGTGCGGCCCGGGTTCGATCCTCAGCACCACATACCAACAAAGATGTTGTGTCCGCCAAAAACTAAAAAATAAATATTAAAAATTCTCTAAGAAAAAAAAAATGTAAAATAGCATCCTATACCAATATGTAAAGCTCCTAAGCCAGTAAAAATAAATTGCTTGATTAATTTCCCACTTCACAACAATGTACTAAGAGTAATCATACTAACAATTGTTGAGTGCTAAGTATACACCAGGTACTGATTAAGCTTTTGATCCTCACAACCAGCCCCAGAAGCAAAGCTTTAGAAAGTTTGATGGACCTAAAGTCACTACCATATGTTAGTCCCCGAGGATCAATATTTTAAAAAAGGCAGACACTGCTACTCTCATGGAGTTCCAGGTCACAGAGACATACATTCTGCGACAAATGACAAAGCTGGATATTAAAAGCACGTCCTCTGCAGGACACTAGTGCTGGTCTTTGCCGGTCGTTCCCCCCTCGCTCCCCCAAAGTCCCTGGTCTTGCACCAGACAGGCCTGTCCCATTCTGTAAGGGGATTGGCTGGGCGGCTGGCTTCCGGCCTCCGCCAATGAGGCTGAGACTTATCCTGGGCAATGAGTGGCAGTTGGGGGAGTGCAACCGCCATGCTGAGCCGTGATGGCTTGGGCTGCCAGCCGTGGCCGAGGCCGGGGGAGGTTTTCACTCGCCCTGGCTGTGAGCCGTGTGAGTATATGGGAGGGTAGACACAGTCCCTGTTTTTCCGCATTTCAGCGTCTTCCTTGCCCCTACCTCTGGGGGCAGGGGGATAATAATAACTGGAATTTATTCAGGCTTCACCATAAGCCAGGCACTAGACCTCAAGGCCTTTGCTTTGTGATCTGGTAGATTCCTTTGCCGTGTGTTATAAACCTATGATTTTAGAGGAAACTAAGGCTGCCCAAGACCACGTGGGAGCACACGCAAATCCAGGTGTTCTTATTCCCTTGAAACCTCTCTCCACACCCCACTTTGGAAATCAGGTTCTTTCTTGGTAGGAGTCTCGCCATGCTCATATATATATTGGGGGCGAACTAGGAAAGTCTATACCACTGAGGTACATCCTCAGCCCTTTTTATTTTTTCTTTTGAAGCAGGGTCTCCCTGAGCTGCTTAAGTCCTGTTAAAGTGCAGAAGCTGGCTTTGAACTTGCTATCTTCCAACCTCAACCTCCTGAGTCGCTGGGATTATAGGTGTTGGCCACCATACCTGGCTTTTCGTGTTTTTTTTTTTTGGGGGGGGGGTGTTATTTTTTTAATATATATTTTTATCTACATTTTTTAAAATTTATTTTTATGTGGTGTTGAGGATTGAACCCAGGGCCTTGCATGTGTGAGGCCAGTACTCTGGCTGAGCCACAACTCCAGCCCTTTTGTTTGTTTTAATAGAAAAAGTAATACATGCTAAAAGTGTATACAGGAAGAACAAGTGTCAATTCCAGAATAGCTGTTGTCTTGATATGGGTATGCAGGGAGAGAGACTTCAATTGAAGTTTTTTATTCATTTGTTTGTTTTTCAATGCTGGTGATTAAACCTAGGGCCTAGCACGTGCTAAGCAAACTCTCTATACTGAGTGACATCCCCAATAACCACCTTTCTTTTTTTAATGAAAAAAAAAAATTCTTGATACTGGGGAAAGAACCCAGGGGCAAATATTACCACTGAGATACAGTCCCATCCCTTTTAATTTTTTTTTTAATATTTATTTTGAGACAAGGTCTTGCAAAATTGCCAAGGCTGGGCGTAAACTCACAATTCTGCTTCAGCTGCCTATTTGCTGGGATTACAAGTCTAGGCCACAGAGACCCTCTTGATTGTTTTATTTTTATTGTTTTGGATTGAATGCAAGGGGACTTAACCACTAAGTCACATCCACAGCCCATTTTTATCTCATATTTTGATAAAAATTAAAATTGTTTAGGGCCCTGCTAAATTGCTGAAACTGTCTTTGAATTTGTGATCCTTCTGCCTCAGCATCCCAAGTTGCTAGGATTACAGGTGAGCTACCACACTCAGACTGTTTTATTTCTTCAGCCTTGTGGTGGGAATCTGGGTAATTGTTATTCCTTTTCCTTTTTGAGATAGAATTGTAAAAGGAAAAGCATTGAAAATAATTTCAGAGGATGAAGTACCAAAAAGAAGTCTCCCACCCTATCCTAACACCCCTCACCCTAGAGACAAGCTTCAATTTTGTGTGTACCTTATGCATTTTCCATTTTGTATACAAAGCATATACATGAGTTGAGGGGGTTTTTTGTTTGTTTTTTGTTTTTTTTTGTTGCACAAGTGGAACCTGTTATATACCTGTACCTCAGGTAATCTGATTTTTAACTTTTATTAAACTTTTTTTTTTGTGGGGGGGAATTCCTTCTTCAACCCTGTTAAAAATTTAACATAATTTCTTGAAAGAATTTTCCTTGGGTGGCTTCTCCCTTGATGAGATAGAGGTCATGGCTCCCAGGTTGTTTGCCTTTTTCTTTTGTGCACAACCTTACCTACCCACCATTACCTGATGTTAACTTGTAGTAGTGGAGTAGTGGCAAATGAAAGAAGCTGGAATTCATTTTTTTTTCAGGTTTCAGGAAAATGCCTAACTTCTTTCTTGGAAAAAATAGAGAAGCCTATTAGATTTCAGTTGAGGAAAACAAATGTCTCAATCCTTATTTTACCTCTTCTAAAAACCTAAGATAATTCCTCCTTTTAAAAAAATGTCCCCAAAACTGGGCATGGTGCTGCATGGCTGTAATCCAATTGGTTTGGGAAGCTGAGACAGGAGGATCGTAGGTTTGAAGCCAGCCTCAGCAACTTAGTGAGGCTATAAAAATAAGGAAACCCTATTAGGGTTAACCCCTGGTACACATACAAAATTTTTGTCCCCCAAAATAAAATAATCCCAATTACACAACCCTTATGTCGGAGAGGTTGGCTTCTAACCCAGGCACAGCTAATGTCAAAAGTTCCTATGTTTGATCATTAACTTCCTGGCAGAATTGACAGAATAGTTTATCTGTTCAGTTCCCAAAACCCCATTGCTCTTTCCTGTCTCTGACCCTCTACCTACAACACTTTTCCCTATCACTTTCCTTAAATATTTTCAACGCTAAATTCCTGTAAGTGGTGTTGTCACATTGTCGGTGGGGCAAAGTTTTAACCTACGGGAATATTTTGTTATACAGCGGCTCTAATACCTGTGGGGGTAGGTTACATCACTCGCTACTTCGGAAATAATTTGGAGTCAAATTGATAGGAAAATAGGTTCTATTCAAAGCCAACTTTGAAAGAAGACAGAAAAAACTTAGTTTGAAAGTTCCCATCTTCTAAATCTCTAAAGGCGAGCAGAACTTTTAAGAAGCGGCAGGAAATGTGTGTATGCAGATTGTTTCTATAACTGACGGCTGGTGTCGGGTGCATCTCTGCTCTTAGCGTCCGCGGCTTGTCAGGGTGGTGGCTGTAAGGCTTTCAGTGTCCACTCTCGTGATTCAGTGGAGGGGTGGGGGCAAATGCAATGTGTTTCAAATCTGGCGAGCTCGCTAGGATACCGGTAAATCTCACAGAGCCTATTGACAGCACCTGGACATTTAAAATTAGCAGCCTGAAAAGTGAAACTGCTGTTTATGCATTTGGACTGTCGGCCTGGTTTCGTTTCGATATACTCAGTCTGCATCAACCTTTCCCTGCCGCTGTGCTGGGCGGGAATGTGATCTTGTTCTTTGGCTGGAGGGGCAGCTGACCCGAGCGGGGCTACCTCTATTGGACCGGGGACGGTGCCCAGCACTGAAGTTCTGGGTGGGCATCTGGGGGCAATTGAAGCCACTTCCCGAAGGGGCGAAGGCGGCCGGCAGGCGCCGGCTCGACGTCACTGCGGCGCGTCGCTTCCGGTGCCCAGCGCGGCAGCGAATGACTTCCCCCTGGGAGGGGCTGGGCCGGGGCTACTGAGACCCCCCCGGAGCTCGCGATTGCGCTGCGCCCGCCGGCGCGCCTTCCACCTGCTGCGTCCCGCCCGCACTGGGGACCATGGCCACCGACTCGTGGGCCCTGGCGGTGGATGAGCAGGAAGCGGCGGCCGAGTCGGTGAGTTGGCTTCAGGCGTGAAAGAAAGGGTCGGGTGTGGTGGGAATGAGTTCTGGCCCGGATCTTGGTCTCTGGGAAAGGACACTCGGTAGGTTGGGGTGCGGGGGTGCGGGGAGAAGATGAGTGGAGCCTGACCCTGAGCTGGCTTTGTCTACCCGCTCTCCTCCAGCGTCACGTAGTCGCAGGTGGGTGCTCCGGGGCCCAGGCGCCCAGCCACCTGCCTGTCTTATTGGGATCAGGGTCTGTCACAGATTGCACTCCCAATCCTGGGTTGTAATCACCGTTTTAGGTGTCAATCTCCACCTTCAGGTTCTGAGCTGCTCGGGTTCTGGAGCCATGTCCTACTCCTGTTTGTGTACCTCCTCCAGCTTGCTAGGTGATAAATGATGACACGGTGGTTTGGGCAGTCAATCTCCTAATCTGCTTAACTTTGTTCTTTTTTCTGAACCTGATACATAGTAAACAAAATGAAAGTTAAACGTTACTGTGTATGATTAATTTCTCCCTCCTGAACATTCTAAGTTCTGGCAGTGCTTTGCACCTACTTCTGTTAATGTTTGTTTCTGAGAATCCCTCCAGAGCAAGGACCTTGTTTCTTTGTGTTTTATTTGTTTACTTATTTGTTTGTCTTTTTAACTTATAAAGAGAAAAGGTTTATTTTGGCCCACGGCTTGTTTTGACTTTTAAATTTTTTTGTTTTTATAACTGATAAAGTTATGAATGCATGCACAGAAATAGTTTCAAAAACAGTGGTTTCTACCAATATTTTCTTCCCCAGAGGCAAATACATTTTCCTTGAAACTGATTGATAGTTTTACCACTGTGTTTCCTAAACAATATGATTATTTTGCTACTTATTGAGTTATCAGTTTTAGATATTTAGACTCTTTTCCCCTCCATCTTCTTCCCCCATCACATATGCATGCCTTTCCACACCCCATTTTTCTTTTTTTAGTTGTAGATTGACACAATATCTTAATTTTGTTTATTTTAATGTGATGCCGGGGATTGAACCCAGTGCCTCAGCATGCTAGACAAGCGCTCTACCACTGAGCCACAACCCTGGCCCCCCACACCCCATTTTTCATTTTAATATTGTAACTTTAGTTCAGTAGTCTATGTTTATATTATTAACTAATGAATACTTTTCCTTTTTTATATAAAATACGTATTTAGAAGTAGTTGGACACAATACCTTTATTTTATTTATTTTTATGTGGTGCTGAGGATCTAACCCAGGGCCTTGCATGTGCTAGAGGAGCGTTCTACCGCTGAGCCACAATCCCAGCCCTTCCTTTTTTTTTTTTTTTTTTTAACTAGGGATTGAATCCAGGGGCTCTCTATCACTAAGCTGCATCCCTAGCCCCGCCCCCCCCTCTCTCTCTCTATATATATATACACACACACACATTTTTTAAAAATAAATTGCTTTTTTTTTTTTTTTTTTTTGATACTGGAGATTGAACTCAGGGGCATTCAATCACTGAGCCATATCCCCAGCCCTATTTTGTACTTTTTTAAATTTAGAGACAGGGTCTCGCTGAATTGCTTAGTGCCTCGCCATTGCTGAGGCTGGCTTTGAACTTGGGATCTTCCTGCATCAGCCTCCAAGCCACT